GCAGGGCGTCGCGTGCGGTGTCACCAGCCACTGGAAGAAGGAGCTGGATCTGACGGAGGAGACAAAAGACCTGGCCCTGGGGGGGGCGCGATCCCCGCTCGCCAGCTTCGCCTACGAGAAGGAGCAGCAGGACAAGTACATGTTTGTGCTCAGTGAGGTGTCCTGTGTGTTTTACAGGTGAGACTCCCCCGGTAGGGCCCCGCCCCGCTCCCTGCAGCACAGCGCCCCCTGCTGGGCCCTGCCCTGCTCCCTTCAGGGGCCTTTCCCCAGTGCCTGCAGCACAACCTGTGCCCTGCTCTCTGAAGCACAGCGCCCCCTGCTGTAAAGCCACAGAGTTGGCACTGAGGCAGTGAGGCCAGTGTTGTTGGGAAAAGGAGCAGGGGCCTGTAGGTGGCTCATTACTCCACTTTCTTTCCTTTCTGGGCAGATTGCGACTCACAAAGCAGCCCTGGCTGATGCAACAATTCTCCCATGCCCAACGCCACCTTCCGCCCAGCTATGAACCTGACATATACCAGCCCTTCCTGGCCACATATGGCACCCACTATCTGAGCCAGGCAGTGCTGGGCGGGCGTGTGCGGCAGCTGACGGCCATCCCGACCTGCCGGGCAGCGCTGGACGGGCTGACAGATGCTGAAATCAGAGAGAAGGAAAACAGGGAGAACCTGGGCTCCAAGTTCTTCAAAGACCTGGGATTGAACCAGTTTCCCTCAGGCTCCCACGACAACGAGCCGAGCAGCCAGGGCAGGCTGAGCTCCCCGGTGCCCTACATGGAGAAGCGCATCGAGGTGACGGGGGGGGACAGCCACACCCAGGAACTCTTCTCCACCACCCAGAACACCACGACATTCACAGCCTGGCTGGAGAGCCTCCACGCCAGCCCCAGCCTGGTCTCCTTCTCCCTGGAGCCCATCCACACGCTGGTTAAGCAGGGAGACCCCCGGCGGGAGGCGCTGAAGCAGGCGGTGAAGGAGTACGTGGCTGAGCGGGAGCAAAGGCGGAACTGCACTGGGAGCTGCCCAGAGGGCGGCTATGTTGACTCCTTGGATCCCTGCAAATGTCACTGCTCCAGCAACCCCGTCACCGACTCCATGTGCTGCTCCCTCCGGCGGGGCCTGGTCCGGCTCAGTGTCCACGTGCAGTGGGCTAAAGGCCTATATGGGGACGTCTCATCTGGCACCGACGGCTACGTCAAGGTCTTCTTCCAAGGCCAGGAGCTGCGGACTTTCTACATTGAAGGAAACGACAACCCCAAGTGGTTTCACAAGCTGAACTTCGGGCTGGTGACGCTGTCGGTGCAGCCCAAGCTGAGAGTGGAGGTGTGGGACAGTGACCCACATTATGACGACCTGCTGGGTGCCTGCGACATCGAACTCGAGTCTGGCAAGGACGTCACGCTCATCTGCAACCTGAACCACGGCTTCTTGAGGTTTTCCTACCTGCTGGAGTGCGGGCCCAACCTGGGCGGGGACAGCTGCCAGGAGTACGTGCCGGTGAGGGGCTAAGGGAAGAGAACCCAGGAGTCCTCGCCCCCAGCCAGCTCCCCTCCATCTCTGTAGCCCCCAGCCCCTTGCCTGAGCTGGAGTTCCCAAGGCTCTCAAGGAAATACAGCCCCCTCCTTTCCCAGCAACCCCCCATCTCCGAGGGCGCAGGGCCGTGCGTATTCCCATTCCGTCACTCTTTGCAGTAGCTCTGGTTTTGCTGCACCGTGCAGTTCCACCTCAGCGCCATCGCGCTAATAAACGTGGGACCGGCTTGATTTCTAGTTCCTTTCATTTTAGAACAGGCACCCTCAGCCCAGCCGCTCCCTGGGGGCTCCGTGGGCTGGGCTGGGCGGCGTCC